GAAATTCCGTGACGAACTGGAGAACTCGCAATCGAGTTGACGAAACAGAGAAGAGAAATTTAATAGAGGGAGAATATGTGTCTCTGGAAACGGAAAGAGAAAAAGGAATTGAATGCAGGAAGAGAAAGAGAGATGAAGGGAGTTGGAAAAAAGGAAGGGATGAAAGGAGAAGGAACGGTAAGAATAAATACGAGATAAAGAAAGAATATAGAATGGGTAGGAGGGGGGAAAGTGGTCGGGGAGAGTTTGGAAGAGATAAATTCGAACGTGGTGGTAAAGGGTTGGAGGAGAGGTGATTTATGCATGCAAACGAGACGAATCGCAACACGTAGTAGTGGAAAGATAGTGGAGAGCAGAGGAGGGAAGAGAGAAAGAGAGAAAAAGGGAATAAAATCGATGAAAATAGAGAGACGTGTTTCTCCATTTAGATGTCCAAGCGAGTGTGGGACAGGAGAAATGCACGTGGAAAATAGAAGCAACGAATCGAAATACTATTAAAAAGTTAAATCGAAACGGGGGAAAGAAAACGGGGTGATATTCGAAGTTAAAATTGAAGAGGGGAGAAAAGCGTGAGCGATCAAACTGTGTACAGATTTAGATATACGATATGTAGATTTGTAACGTATCTACTTTCTGTATTTAACTGTGTTGCGCTATATTTATTATATCTGTAATAATCGTTCAAAGAATTTGGAATATATTATCTCTTGTTTTTTGGAGATATTGAAAACAATAATTTTAGACGAAAATTTAATAATTGAAACGAATTAAAATTCTTTTATCTCTTACGATACATGCAAAAGTGTATATAAACATTTTAAAGGAATTACATTGTGTTTTTTTGAGGATTGTTTCCCTCCATTTAATTATCCTTTTCTTATCGTTTGTCGTTTTATCGTTTTATCGTTTATCAGAGGAGAAGTAGAAGGGATGGTTGATCGTATTGGATTGGCAATTAATTTTGACGCAATGGATTAAACAGCGTTTCTCTGTTCAGGATAGGACCAACGTGCAATTATTTGTAGGGAACGCGAGCTCTGTAAACAACCGTTAGTTGATACGTCAAACAGGCTCTATTTGGCAAGATAATCTGTTAGCAACGGCATTTGAACGCTTGTGTTTAGCGTGTTAGTTAAGTGAACACACTTTTTCGATTATAGTTTATTATCGTGCATTTGCTTTGGAATTAGCAGGATTTCTTGCAATTCGCTTAAATTTAAAGACGAACCAACCTCACATTTTATGTGTTTAAACAAACTAAACGCTTACTTGAAAATAAAAAAAAACGCGAGACTAAATAATTCCGTGGAAATTAACAAAATAGAATCCGTGATTTTCACGGTTGAAGAGTTGAAAGAAAGAAAGAAAGAAAGAAAAAAAAATCCTCGGTATTTCTAATAATTTACGAGAAAACAACTCGTGATACTTCCGTGTACCAGGCCACCCTGTATAAAAACCCTTATAAATCCCTGTTGGTTTCCCTCCTGCTCCGTAACAACGGGCCACTCGACGGAACACACTTCCTCCTCTTCGAGCTTGGGAAAGGAAAAAAAAAAAATTTCTTTTCAAGGAAACGCTGCACCGCGTTTCCATTAATAAACAAACGGCACAAAGCGGTGCGGGAGGGTGAAGGATACGAGGAGAAAAGACGCGATCGAGTCGCTTGGAGTGATAAAATAAATACAAATAAAGAAAACAGGGAAAGAAAGAAAGAAATTTTAAAGGAGAAGTTGCGTGGTCATAGATGTTACGATAAGTATAATTTCAATCAACGTTTCAACGATAATGATATTAAAAATATTCCACGAAATTCCAACGAATCGATCCAACCTTGAAAAGTGAAAAGAGAACAGAGAAGAAGAAAGATCGAATCCCGGAAGAAAATCCCTTAAGAAATAATCGAACAAGACCGCGCGCTCTTTCTTCCGGGCTAATGGTTTAATCCTAACACGGATGTTAACCAGATTACCATCGAAAGACGTAGAGGAGGAGGAGGAGGAAGGCCGCGGTCGCTCCAGAACAAATTAGCCGCGATTACCTGGATAACGACAAAAAGGGGGATGGTGGAACGTCGCGATTCGCGCCACGATGGCTGCCCTCTGCAATTTTCTGCTACGTCGCTCCCCTTCGTGCAGGGGCACCAACCTCTCGACCCGAGGATTGTTCCTCCTTCCTCGGCCTCCACGCTCCACGGATTATGCCGCCTCGATTTCGTGCCTCGGTGGTGAGTGGTGGCGAAGCCGTGGGGACGCGACAACTCGATACGTTTCGAAAAAAATTTTAAATGGAATCTTGTCGTCCACCTCGCGTTTTTGCGTCGAATCGTGTCGAAAACTTCTTCTTCGGAGACGGGAAGGAGAATAATTTTATTTTTATTTTTTTTTTTTTTTTTTTTTTTTTAAGTTAAACGAGAGCGACACGGATTTTCTTATTCTTCTTTTACGAGTTTTGCACGATTTTTACACGGTACACGGAAGAAGGGAAGAATACAAAGGTATTATTTTTCCGCGAGATAAAATGGTTGCGTTAATATATGTTGAATCGATAAATCTGTTGTGTGTATCGATTAATTTATAATTTATAAGGACATTTTGGGCTACAGATACAAGAGGATTGAACTTGCAATATTCATATCGTGTGCCGAGATGTATCGGTGTATCGTCAAAGGGATCGATTAACTTTTGATCTGACGATTAAACTGCATTTTAGAAACTACCTTAACCGGTGTGAATTACATAGAGAAGGGAATATTGCAAATTTTTCCTCGTGAAAGAAAGATTATTTAATTTTGATCTGAGAATGGGATTGAAAAAAGTGTTTTCGTATAGAAACTATCATTGAACCTAGATTTTTCGAAAGGGAATATTCGAATGGCATCCATCCGTTAATTTCAATAATCGAATCACATTTTTGTCAACGTTTCGTGCATTCACGTTTTTTTTTTTTTTTTTTTGGTAGAGCGATAGGATTCCGTCGACAACTGAATTTAAATCCAAGCGTTACCTTATTAACCTCCCTGAAATTTAATCTCTGGCTCGCGAATGTTCATAATTATTCCATATATCTCTTGTACCCTTCCTTCCTTCCTTACAATTTCCAATTTCCAATTCCACTGCTCCACCGTTATAAATTTCTTTGAGAATGAAAATATTAAGATTATTAAGAACAACTCGCACTTCGATGTGTGCTTTTTTTTTTTCTTTTTAGAGATAATTATTTTTTTTTTTTTTTCTATTTTTGAAAACATGAACTTGGTGAGAGATCTAAAATTACATCAAGGGAAAGTAAAAAATATACGTTTAATCTTTGAGATTGTCCCGATAAAAACCAAAAAAGAAAGAGAGAGAGAAAATTTCTGAAAATACGAGGAAAAAAATTTTCAAGAAACTTTGGCGAAAGATTCGTCAAACCCGGACAGAAATAACAGACGGATGCTTGGTGAGCTACGCGGATCGTACCGAGAAAAACGAATATATAAGTCTGTCCAGCAGTTCGTTGACCATTATTCCCGTTCTCTTTGATTTTTCGAGCCATTTGCCGGCCTCTGCCAGTCCGCAGCCGCTTCATCACGTTTTTATGGCGGTATAATTCAGGGCCAGTATAATATCTGTGAGCCCTGGCCGGTGGCACCAACAGAAGTGAGTCCTTCTCTCTGCGGTCATCGTGGTTATAAAAAAAAGAAGAGAGAGAGAAAGAGAAAGAGAGAGTGATAGAGAAAAAAAACAATAAATCTATGGAGAGAAGGATGAAAGGGGTGGATTTTTTTCACGCCACGATATTCATGACGGATGAAGATGAAGAGAGGGATTCGAGAACAAGTGCAGTTAAGTTCGTCGATGAACTTTCGAAAGAGTGTATCATGTGGTTTACCTTTTTTTTTTTTTTCAAAGATGTGGTTCGATTTAATCGGATTTTGATCGAGTTTTAATGGCGACGATACGTGCCCATGATTGTTTGATAATTAGATGGGACGTTATAGTTTTTGCAAATTTAGGTTTATTTTCGCGAATAATTCGATTCGTGATTATTAATCGGTCGTGGTTTCCGTTTCAATTAGAAAAATTTATCCGTTCTCTTTAAGAATAATTGAAATTTGCTGACAGTTTTCGAAATTCTTTGAAAAGAGATCTCTCTTCTCCGTTTAAATTGAGTGTTTTGTAGTTTATAACGGTCTCTTCTCGAGGTCTTAATCTTGATGATAAAAGAAAAAAGGAATAATAGAAGAAAGAGGGAACGAGATAACATCGAAACGAGTATTTTTCCTGGAAAAATCTCGAACGAGCGCGTTTCAACGACGAAAGCGGACAAAACGGAAGCGCGTTTTTCTTCTCCGAGAAAGCGCGAAGAAGAAAAAAGAAGAAGTTGATACGTTGGCCGAAGTGAATCCACTTCGAGGAGTTGATGGTGTCTTTGACTCGCCACACATCGGTTTTTCCCGCTCTTCGCACGGAAACTTATTTCTCCACGTAATTACCCAGGTGAATACGCGTGCACGATTGCAATCTACCAGGCTGTAACCACGTCCGCTCGTAACTTCTCTTAAAATATTAACAATCGCGTTGTGGCTGACACCTGTAGAATTCAAAAACGCAAAGAAAGAATGACGGCAATCTGTGCATTAAAATTTCATTTCAACTCGTGTTATGTTATTATCCCACTTTATATTTCCACTTTGACTCAGATCGTCGATTGATCGAAATTTGATATTTTCCTCGCGTATATGAAAGAATGGAGGACAAGACGATATATAACAATTGTTTTAAAACTATATAAAAGTTTTAATTCGATCCCCTCGATAAAAGTTTCTCTTATCCTCCAGGAAATAATATATATAATTATTACAACGTAATAACAACAAATGCTCACAATCTTTTTAAAATTCTTAAATTCTGAAAACTCGAGAAGAAAGAAAACTCGAGGGACGAATATTGACTCGCGATAAATTATTGTGAAAATAAAGGTAAACTTATATTAATCTCGGCCGCGTTTTATGCGCACAGATGATGAAACATGGCTGGGACAACTACGTGAGATACGCGTGGGGGAAGAACGAGCTGAGACCGATCTCGAAGAGGGGTCACAGCGCGAGCATCTTCGGCGCGTCGAACATGGGGGCGACCATCGTTGACGGCCTCGACACTCTCTACATCATGGGCCTTCACGACGAATTCAAGCAAGGCCGGGACTGGATAGCCGAGAACCTCGACTTCGATATCGTGAGTACACTAATTCTCTACTTTATCCATTCTCTTCAAATCGTACGATGGAGTTTAAAAAGTATCTCGAATCGTGGGCCAGAGTTTCGGTACTAATCTGAAACGTGAATGTATATTTTAGAGTATTTAGAATTTTGTTTTAACCCTTTGCGGACGAAGCCGTCGCTGTGGGCGACAGGTTGTAAAGAAAATATTCACGTTTAACGTTTGCATTATAAAAACTGAAGCTATATTCAAATAATTACTTTTACATAAAATCCATTAAAACAAACAAATTCAAATTCGTGTTTACATATGAGACGTTTTATGTTCGTGCGTTGTATGGTATCGTTCGAAACAGTGACCTATGTCCAAGGCCAGTTTAGCCGAACAGGTAACAGAATAGTATCTTGTCGTTAAATTCGAGGCATTAATTCAAACTTTATTCTTTTTATTTTATTTTCCGTACGCGCTCGTCCAAAGCAATTTTCCTCGAACTTGGAATTGGAACTTCCGAACTTGCGCGTCTAAATCAACGATTTTTCCTTGCCAAACTTCGTGCAAATGCGTTCACTCTCTGCTCGACGATCGTAGGAATGAATCCTCCGAATCCTCGATTGACAATTTTGACCAGCTGTTTGGAAGGGAGTGGAATATCTTAGGAAAAGTAATTTTTTTTTCCCCTTAAATTCCGAGAATATCGAATTCGTCGTTCTTAAACGGAATACGAAAGAGAAGGAGAATAGAATAGAAATTGCGATGCCTGAAAAGAATTCCGAGAAAAGAAAAAGTTGGGGAACGGTGGTCGCGTTTCGAGTAATCGAATTTTTATCGAAGAAGAGGGAAGTTTTCAACGAAACCTTTTTTTTACGAAACGGGGGAGGGCGATATATGAATGTTTAATTGGACAAAGAAGCGAGATGTGCGAGGGCGATGCGAATGTTTAATCTTCGGACAAAGAGGTAAGATATATTATGCGAAGTCGTTGACAGAATGCGAGGGGCAGGAATGGGCAAATAGAAATAAGAAGAACAAGGGTTCACGGGGTTCGTCCCTGGGAGAGTTCCCACGGGGATTCAAGGTAATCCTTTGAGAATCGAGACCGTTCAAGGGAAGGGGAGGGATCGAACAAATATTCCACGACCTTGACGGACAATGAAAATCTTATCTGCAGAGAGCAGCAGCCGCGCTTGAAACGCTTTAAATCCTAATCCTAGGTCGGGTACAATCTTCAATCTTCCATATTTTACACGGCTGTCGGATTAATTCTCGGAAATATCATATCATCGAGAACTTTTGCCCGAATCGTATCGTAAGAAATACGTAAAAATATCCAGTTTTTTTCCTTTTTTTTTTTTTTTTTTATTCCTGAAGTATTTCCAGAATATAAGATATTCTAGATTCGACACAAACGATTCTTCGAATAAATTATTCCGCTTCCGGGTGTGAGTTGGAACGCGTCGAAGAAAAATTCATATTTTATGAAAAGAAAAATACCTCTTACTTGGAAGAAATTTATATTTATATTCGATATCGAGAGAGAAAAAGAATTTACAAATGTCCAGGAGAAACAGTAGTTTTTTTTCGTTTCAAATCGATATCTCGATTAGTAGTTGCCCGGATAGAATGGAAGCTTAATATTGGAAGCGTGCTAAGATTTCTGAATGGCGAAATTCACGTGACCTATATTGTTTCGCGTACGTCGCGTGGTAATAGTAGGTAGCCAGTGGTGAAAAAAAAGCTGCTGATTCAGCGTCTGACCAGCGCAAGGACGCTGCGCTTGGGATAGGTCAGTGACAGGAAGTGAGAAAGGAGCGAGAAAGAAACGTAAACGAAAGGGAGAAATTATCATATTTCGTTTGGAAAGCTGTATTATATCTCGGGAACGGATAGTCGTATCGATTTGAAACAAAAAAAAATGGACTTTCAAAAAGGAAGAATATATTCTGACACGTTTCTTTTTTTACAGAATTTCCCCCTTCAGAGAAAGATGATTCTTGCTCGATTTGCTTTTAATATCGATTATTTATGGCGTAATCGTAAAAAGTTTGAAAAGAAATTACGTTTTTTACGTTTACACGAATGGAGAATATTTGATATTGTGAGTTTTAATTTTTTTTTTTTTTTTATTTTTTTTTTACAAAAAAAGATTCGCGTAAAATAAACGAAAAGATCGAATAAATGGAATATTTTCGAGTATTTTTGTGAACACAAAGAGTTTTTTTTAAGCGAATTAAATATGTCAATATGCGGAACACAAAGACATTGTTCCATAGAATAGAATATTAAATACGTAGTAAAAAAAAAAAAAAAAAAAAAAAGAAAAGAAAAAAAACAATGTGTACAGCGATTGATGTTCAATTCAAAATTTAATTCCTAGTTCGTGCTTCTGTGATAAAAAAATAGCATTATCCTGCTCGCGTATATATTTTGCCTCTATGGCGATATTAATATCAACATTCTTTTGTCGACGTTTGCTCTTTCACCCGGTTGATAAATGAAAAATTCCTCGATATAATATACACTGACTATTCTCGTTTCGCTAATATCGAGAAACGAATATTGGCTCGTTAAATTATTTTATAATTTACGCGTCGCTATCCATTTTCCTTTTTTTTTTCCTTTTTTTTTTAGATTTATTATCGTGTGACTAATATTGGTAAATATTATTTCCATAGAAAATTACCCTGTGTCTTACCCTGTTAATCCTTTTTATTATTAACAACAACAAATTATTCTCCCTTCAAAAATATTTCCTTAACGTCGCAACAAACATGTAAACGTTGCCTCATCTTAACAAAACAGGTAAAAACAAACACATCCAAGATGCACAAATTTCGATCCATCTCCCAACTCGACAACTCCTCCCTCTATATTGGCCTACCACAAACACCTCGTTATCGTTCCAAACGTTTCAACCCCTTCAACATCCCTTCAATCCACTGGACTTCGTGTCAACGCAGAGAAATTTCTCTTAATTTTTAAAACGTGCGTCGATAATTATTCGACCCCCAAATATTCGACGTATCCTTTCGATTAACAATCCAAACTACTGCTACGCCCCCCCTCCTTAATTAATCTATTCGTTACGTAAATCGGTGTTCTTTGGATCGTTCCTCTTAGAAGTGGAACGAGGAAAGATGGAGGGGGAGAGAATAAACTTCGTTTTCGTCGGTAGGCAACCAATAGTACTCCACAGCCAGGAGAACTTAGCTCGGTTTATCCCAACTTGGTAACAGCCACCGTTACTTCTGCGAAACTCTCCAAACCGCCCAACCGATTCTCGCCCCACCGTGGCCATCCCTCCGGTATTAGGGAGCGCGTATTCCTAAGTGGTTAAGTTGCCGTATCAACCACCGTGACTGGATTCGTGCCTATGGGTTCGCAGCTGTGCGAAGACACCCCGTTTTGTAATGGATGGAGGGCTTTGCTTTTTATATCCGGAGAAAGTTGGATCTGGATCGTTTGCACGTTCAGTATTTGTGATTGATAAATGTGTGAAGAGCATATTTCGAATCTTTCAGATCTGTCTAAATCAAAATTGTCTGAATTATTAAAATAAAACATACTTTTTAATACTTTTTAGAAAAAGTATTAAAAATTGGAATATGTTTCGTAATTGAAAAACGAGGAGGAGATTTTCGTTAGATTCAATGAGAATGACGAATGGGGAAAGCGTGTCTTGGCCGTGTTTCCAAAGACGAATTCGCGATTTAAGCTCCAAATATTTAGCTCGTTCGAGAAATATTCGTGGTGGAGGATTTCGATTCCTGGCGTGGATAATAGGGCGTCAAACATTTTCCTGATCTGTGCCAACCTCAACTATTTATGGTGGATTCCTAAACGGATAACTTTGGAGGAGTATTAGTCACTTCACCGAGCTGCAAACTCGTGCACGTAAATTGCTCTGTTGTTCTTGCCAAAATTCCTGGATAATATTTCACACCTGTGCAATTCTCTTCTTCGTGCGTTACATTCTCCAACTTCCTTCCTGGATGAATATATATCTCCCCTCTTCCTCCCGAGGAATCTGTCGAAAAAAAAATTTCTCTTTTCATCCTTATTTTCCTTATTTCAATCGTGTGACCACGATCGATAAATCTTCTACTTGTAATCGAATGTAACATATAATTTTATACCGTCAAAATAAATGTTTGAGGATGATATGTGATAGATTCGAAACGATGAAAGAAAGAACATCGCGAAACATGTTTTTTTCCATTAAAATTAAACCGTTATTATTTCTATTGAAATTCAAACGTTTAGTCAGCGGTTTCCTGGCGGAACGATTTTCTCTCTGAAAAACCGCTTCGCAAGCACGAGTAACGAGAGACTATCGCCCGAAAAAAATATCGAATTTTGCTTTCATCGCAATTGTCAAATATATCCTCTCATTTGTCACGGCAAATAATTTGCCAATATGATCGAACGGATATTTATCAATGACAATGTAAAAAAAAGTTAAAAATATCTAAAATAACACGTGATTAAGCAATCAGCTTTCAATGTATCGAAATATTTATATGGATCGTAGTGAATACACGTGTAATTAAAAACGTGTGTTGTGGAGATTAAAAATATATCAACGCGTATCAGCAATACACGTATTCGATTTAAAGAAGCAAATATAAAAGTTATTTTTGGAAGCAAAATTTTAATTGAAGAAACAAAGTGAACCGGAAAAAGAAAAAACAGGACATTGTTTGGGTTACCCGATATCTTAGAACCGTGGGCTGTGATAAAATCATAAAGTCTGATTACAGTTCCGATTACAGATCGTTCCATTTGTAAGAAAAATTGATATTATTTTCAAAACGAAAGAAGGAGGGACAATTGCTGCAGTTGCCCGTTTATTTTCATCGTGTTTCCAATTAAAATTATTGAAACCCTTCTTTTCAATTTCATCTTGGAACTTAATCCTATCGAAAAAGACACGACGTTAAAATTGCTCTGAAAAGTAGATATGGAAAACGACGAAATAGAGATCAAACACACTTCGTTTAAACTTAATTAAAAATATA